TCGCGGCACTCGACTATAGAGTTTCCTCTTGTTCTTCTTCGGGTGGGTGGATACGATTGGTTGGAACGCCACGGGTTTTTATAGGGTTTAAGGTGAAGCTAGAGGGATTTAATACAAACAAGTTGGGACGACGGTGGCGCAACGCCTCTCGCGTGTGGATTCAGAAGAAGATCGAGGGGGTTGTTAAGCTTTGGAGACTTCTTAAATAATATGTGCTTGAGTGTGACGCAGTGAACTAAACGCCATGCATTTTTCGCTTAAAATTTATTCAAAACGTTGTTTCACATTAGCTTGCCCAAGGATGTCCAACCATGCCATCGGAAAAGGTCGGGCCAACCCTTTTCGAAAACCCCTAAACACCTCCCCACATTATTTGTATTCCTCGACCTCGGCAATTAAATTACACAAAAGCTTGCCTGAGCTTAACGAATGGAAAAACGCGCACAAAGGAAGGGAAACGAGTTCAACAAGACTTTCTCGTTATTTTCCATCAGTGTAAACGAACAAACACCTAAGGAGCTCTTGCTATTCTGAGAACTGGGTTTTCAGAAAATAAATTATGTACCGCGAAATGTCTCCAGTGGTGACTCCTTGAAAAGGCACATGTTTTAAATTTATGAATTGGAGAATATGCAGTAGAGGCTAAGTTGTTGTTTTAAATTGAAAGACTGAAAAATATTTGATAAATAAATGTAGTCATATATATAAGAGAAATACCTTTGGTTTTTTTGATTTCTTTTAAAATTAGATTCGAAAGTTTCCTAGTCATAAGTTCAGAAAAAGGCATATTATTGCGGAATTTAAATTGATCACAAGCAATGTTTAACCAGTAGACCAAAACGTTTTCCCTCCTTTCGGTTTTATTATGACCTTATTTTTATAAATTGTTTAAATATTCGTTTGAATTATGTTTAAAACATGTCATAGTATATCTTTAATACGTTTATTTAAAGATAACAGTAATAGTTTATTTCTTTAATAGGCTTGGCGCCCAAGTGGCTTCTGTTTTCTCCTCCTTTTCCCGAGTTTTCTACTCATTTTCATTAATTTGTCATTGTAATTTTATTCGCCGATGCTTCGGCTTTTTAGTACAGTCTTGTGCATAAATCAGCGTTCAGTCAGGCGCTCATAATCAGTCAATGGCCTTGCAAAATTATGCAGCCTGCTGCCCGACCACCCTCTTTCGCCTTCTTCACCTTTATTCCCCACCGTTACCCACCGCCTTTTCCTTTGCTTTCCTCAATGCATTTCATTTTGGTTTATTGCTGTGACAAGCAATTTCCGCATTTTGCCTTTTGTGCCGCCCCGTGTCCCCGCTTGGCTTTTTACATAATTGATTATCTGGCCTCTGACTAGGCCTCAATTTCTGCAGCTCCAACTCTTGATTACCATTATCATCGTCGTCATTATCAACAATTGGGCAACAGTCTTCTCTTCTTACCTGTTTTCGTCACGCTTTCAGTTCGATTTGAACTTTTGGATTTTAGATTTCGGATTTTACCATCAACTGCTTTTGACAAAGTCTGTAATTTTACTTGTGCAGCAAAAGCTCTGGAAAATCGTAAGACAGAAAAAAGAAGAAAGCAAAAGAAAATGGGTACAATGAAAACTGTTAAGAAGCAGGACCATATCGGAGTGGAGTTAGAGTGGAAATGAGAGGCGGTGGAAGCCGGACTGAACTCAACCGAGAACAACTGGCAAAAACTGAAAAACTGGCAACTGACAAAGTGCAGTTGGAAAAATAGTTTGGTAACTCTGCAACTTTTACTCTTTTTTTGGTTCCTTGACTTGTTATTACTTTATCAGTCTGGTTGGCCATAAATAGATTCCGTATTTTGTCCTCTTTTTGACCAAATGTGTCAATTTAAGTTGTGGGAATTATCAGTTCTTATAAATCGAAAATGAAAAACGCCACCGCACTGTACGGAAAAGGTTATTAGGAAAGGAGCAGGGCGGGGCTTAGGAATTGCAGGCACACCCACAGGCACACACGGCATATTAATGCACCTATGCCATATGACAGATTCCTTTGACGGCCTTGCGGGTGAAGCATCTGCAAGGGAATATAGATTGTAGGCGAAGGGAATTCGGGGAGAGTCGGTGGATGGAATATGGCGCCACAAGAAGTGGATAAACAGTTCTGCCGATATGTTGACAGCCGTGGCAGAGTGTCAGGGGAAAAGATACCAGGACCTTTCAAAGAAATGGCATCTTGGAGAAATCCGGAAAAAGGAATACGTCGAAGGAAGCAGAAACTGTGATGAACAATGTCGTATTATTGAACAGCATTTAGAGAAATGTGCTTTGCAGAAGTTCTTAGAGCATTTTCATTCAGAAAATCCGTTAGCTTTGAAGTAACTGAAAAATGTTATTTAGGTTTAAGAAACTTAACTTCATATTTATAGGGAATTACATTCCTTAAGTGAATGTTGTATAAGAAAACGAGAAATTTTTCTTTAAACTTTTAAATAAATAACTTTGAAGGGAAAAATTGGCTTATCTTCATTAAGTGCAGCGGAATCCAAGTCCGAATGTCCAAAACAAGTTTACATTATGCTCATCCATATTCAAAGGCTTACCATATGGTGAAAGGGCGTCCTTGTGTCCATCCTTAGTCATTCGCTGCAAATCCACATTATGCCATGACATTAAATTAGTATTTTCCTTCGAAATTTCCATCAGTCTCTATCTCGCTCATTCATTAAGGCATTCGCAGTCCCTGTCCCTTTTTACCACCTTAATAGGTGTTAAGCTGTGCTTCATAATGACGGACATTACATATGCAAGGTGAGCTTTCGATTCCGCACCCTCTCTTCTGGCCTTTTGTGGCCTAGGGACTAAGAATGTTTAGCTATTTGTTTTTGCCCATGTTCTAGCTCTGCTCACAGCCCTACAGGGAAAATATTTAATGCTGCTTATTAACGTTATTAATATTCCAATAACTAATACATTGATTTGTAAACTGTTTTTGATTAGAAACGAACTGAGAAAGTGAGATTATCTGCCCAATTATTCTTTAAGTTTGGTGGTTATAGCCGTGACTTTAGTTCATCCACTAGTAATCAGTTTATCAACTGGTAATATTTTCTTCCAGTGCAGCCCGGCTCTCTTACTCCCACACGCGCGTATTTGTGTCTTTATATAGCTTTGAATTTGTTGCACTCCCACAGGACTTCATTTGCCATTTGAAACACCTATGCCATGTAGAGCATTTGCTTCTCCATGCTGTCTTTGTTGTTGCTGCTGCCGCTTGTGTTGCCCGTAGCGACGCTTTCGACATCATCATGTTTAACACAGTCGGGCAAAGTTGAGCGCACTTTGCTTTTGAAGAAGGCTGTACAAATTAACTAATTTTATTTATATGCAAATCACATTTCCAAACAACTAAAAACAGCCGCGGCAACAACTTTTCTCCATTAGAATGTTTACAAAATTAAGAAAATTGACAATTTCCGCCGACCAGGACGAAAGCACCTCAGTAAAAATAATAAAAATTGAAACTCGATGGCTCCGCCACTGAGGCTCCTGCAATTGTTTTGACTTCACGCCTTCCCACTCCATTGCTGCTCAGTGTCTCAGTTTTCTGACACGCCTCTCAAAGGGGCGACTGGCGGTTGTGTAGGGGAGGGCCAACCTTTTGGCACGGCAACAACGAGCCGCATATTTAAATTTTAATTAAAATTTTCTTCAGGGCCTGACACCCCGCCTCGCCTTGCCCACTTTCCCCTCTCGTGTTTTCCTCCTTGCGGAGACCGACGCGTTGTGTTCCCATTTCGCATTCACGCGCTTAAAAATATGCAAATAAAAATTGCCTTTGTGCTTCGTCAAAAGAAAAAAAGTCAAACGGACAGAGGGGCGGCGAATCCTGCTCTGATTTCTGATAACCTTCTTATCAAGACTTTCCTGACGACCCAGAAGAAAATTAAAGTTTTGGTCTACTACGACCAGAAATTAATTATCTTCCACTGACGCGACAACAATCGTTAACGTTTAGTGTGTTTCTAAATTATAAAACCAAAAGCCTTTCAAAAGAATTAATGTAGTTCTTTTCAATAGGGGATTAATATTCATGTTAAAGAAACCTAAAACATTACGTGAAACTAAAACATAACTAAAACTCTTAAAAACTGGGAGATAGATGGCTAAATCTTAGAAGTTTACGGCATCACAAAAATAAAAAAAGTTTTACCGGTAACAATTAGTATACGAGTATACCTGATATTTCCATATAGAATTATTAAAAACTTATATTAAAAGAACGTTTTAGTAACATATCCTTTCGATTCAGTAAGCCAGGTTGACATGGTGGAAATATGTATGTCCAAGTGTGTGTCTGCAACTGCAAAGAAACTTATTTCGTTTTGCTGTTCGTTTTATTTCTTCTGCAACTTGTTCTTCTCCTTTCTTCTTCACCCCAAATCTGTTTTTGACTGGTGGAATTTTTTGGTTAACGTTGAAGGGAGCCGAAGGATGAGGAGTATGAGAAGGAGGAGGAGGAGGAAGAGTAGCTGTGTCTGCCCGAGTTGTTAGTTGCAATACACAAAACCGCCAAAACGAACAAGGTAAGGAACTGACTGTGGGCGGGGAGAGTCCCCAGATAACCCTCTCAGTTCCAGCCACAATTTGCCATGTAAATATTAATGCCGGGCTAGATACGGTCTCTCAGGGGGGATGGGGATGGAATCGGGGTCGGGCTCGAGCTATTGGGTATGAGTATATAGCTTCGTCTGCACTCAATTTTTCAAAGCTCGTTTGTGTCGTTAGTTGGTTGGCTGGGTTTAGGACTGGATCGACGTTTTCTCCACTGGTTCTCCGGTTTCGGCCATCCTGTTTTGGTCTTTGGTCTATGCAAATAATGAATGCAAAATGCTGTTCAAGTGTTGAAAAATCAGCAAAAGCTGCTGGAAAAGCTCAGTAATCCTAACATTTAGTTTATGCAGTAAAATTCCAAAAAAAAAATTCCAATTAATTTTTGAACATTTATCTTTTGACTTTTGCAGACTTTCTGGGTCATCATCAACACGGAGTGGACAACAAGAGGAGCTCAGGCCGTGAACAATTTGCATAAGCGTACTCCCTAAAATGGATAATTTCAATAAAATATTTAACAGTGAAAGTGAAAATGGCTGAAGTTGTAAAGTTAACAAAAGTACTCTTTTACGCCAAAGCATGCAAAATCAAGTGCAGCATAAATTTGAGCCCAGCAGCTTCCCAAACGTAGAGTAAATATAATTACACTTCGATGGACATTCGAGCGTAATTTAATAAAGGCTCAGATGGAAGCAAGGCTCTCAGAGAAGAGGCATAAAGTGTGGCTAAAGTGAAATTTAATATCATCCCTTTAATTAAAAAAAAGGTAAATTCAGTGCAGACCCTAACGTGAAAATCAAGGAAAAACATTGAAAAGCAATGTTAAAGTGATAGTGAAAACTGAATTGAAAAATAATTTAATATTTAGGTTTAAGTTATGCGAAGACGCTACTAGAGAAATATGGAAAATCGGCTCAGCGACAGTCCCGGAGATTGTCGCGTAACCAGGTCCAGTATGACACCGACCCTGCGCCTGGATCAGAGTCCTAGGCAGGAGCCTAATACCCCTCAGCCGGAGAACGTCCAAGCTGTGGTGGCTGGGAAGTCCAAGTCCCCCACTTCACTACCTGGAAAATCACAGGCGGCGCAGCATCACCAATTCCGGGCTCCGCAGCAGCAGCAAGGCCCCAAGAACCGAAACAAGGCCTGGGGCAAGAGGCAGCACAAAGTCGGAAGCAAGCATAACGCCAGCGCCTGTGTCGGTGCCAGCAGCGCCCAAGCGCAGTCCACTGGCTCCTCCGCCACAACCGCGCTACTTTTACCCACGGCGGCGGCGGCGGCAGCCCACAAGGCCGATCTCGAGAACATCCAGAATATTCAGAACAAGAATCAGATTGCCGGCGGTGCTATCAACAATCATGGCAACGCTGGAACCGCCCAACACAGTGGAGGCGGGAGTGGTGCCCATCACACTGGAGCTGGCGGGGGTCACCACCACCATCATAACACACGGCTGGCTCAGAGCGCCGCCGCTGGTGGTGCAGGGAGTGGAGGAACTATGCAAATCTACAAGAAGATGGTGACTCACAGGTCAGTAACGATACGAGGGAAAATTGTAAGATTTTCGAAATTATAGTTTATGAGTCGTACACAAAGTCATTTTCCAAAATGTGTCCTCATCCACGAACTGGGACAGGGATCAAATGGATATTAAAAGGAGTAGTAGAATAACATTAGAAAGATTTTAGAGCTTATATTTTTGATTGGTATTTGGTCTATAATGAAAAGTCAAATAATATTATCCGTTACTCGATGAGGAACATGCAGATTCTAGATGTGCCTATGCAGCGCAGAATTTGATGTTGAAAAATTGATGTAAGATGTATCTTTAAGATAGAGTCAAAATTAATTTAAAATGGGTTACAGCGTACTGGGTAGTGGAACTCGATAATAGCTGTATCTTTTGTTTATTATTAGAATCTTCAACAGTTCTCGAGATCTCAACGTTTATATAGATGACCGGCAGATATGATTATTCTTAAGAAAGAAATATATTCTTTATAGGGTCTCCTGTTACTTACCTTTCAACGTTAATTTATTTAGTTTTATAATTACTGTTTTTGTTCTTCTTCGATAAGAAAGAAGTTTAGGAGGTTTGCAGTACCGAAGTTTGTATTTAACGTGAGCCACTTTTACAGTTAACAAAAGAGCTATTTTTATCTACAGGGGCCACCATCACCATGTGCTGTGTGCCGGCAACAATGCGAACCACACGTGCTGCCTGGTTACAGGCTGTAACGGCAGCTCTGCCGGCGGAACGGGAGTGCCTGGGAGCGGAGGCGGTGCCGGCGTTGCTAGCGGAGGAGCTCCCTGTAAGGAGGCGCAGAGCAGCAAGGATACCAGCTCGTTGAGCGGCAACAGCAGCATAGCGGGCAGCGCAGGAGCGGGCAATGCTGTGCACTATTGCTGCGGACGGTCCAAGTTCTTCCTGCCGGAAAAAAGACTGCGAAAGGAGGTGATTGTGCCTCCCACTAAATTTCTTCTGGGCGGTAATATTTCCGATCCGCTCAACCTCAATTCGCTGCAGAACGAGAACACGTCGAATGCCTCCTCTAGCAACAACACGCCGGCGACCACGCCCCGCCAGTCGCCCATCACCACGCCGCCTAAGGTTGAGGTGATAATTCCGCCCAACATCCACGATCCTCTGCACTTGCTAGATCCTGTCGATTCAATGGAGTACGAGAAGCAACTGACATCGCCGATGAAGCGTGGAGGAGGCGGTGGGATGGGAATAGGGCACCACCGGCAGCATCACCATCGTACGCGGAAGAACCGCAAACGTCGCCGCTTCGACTCTAACAACACCTCGCACGCTGGCGAAGAAGGAGTAGGCGGGGGCGAGCTGGCCGACGAACCGCCGCTGCCCACAGCCACTCCTTCACTTGCAGCGTCGCCGGTGGCAGCGCCAGTCAACGTTGGCGGCAGTTTACTGCTGAGCGAGTCTGCTGCTCCAGCCGCAGGGGAAACCGCAGAAACAGGCCATCAGCAGGCGCATGTACGCTCTCCGCAGTCGGCATCGACGACGGCCACCGCCGAGATGCCCACCCCGACGCCGACTGAGGTTGTGGCGCTGACTGCGGCCGATGAGCAAGTGGAACAGGCATCGTCATCGCCAGCAGCGACTTCATCTCCGCAGCGACAGCAACATGTGGCCATTGCCCCAGAGGAAGCTCCCACTGTTGCGCCACCTGCTGCTGCTGAGCCGCCTGCAGAGGAGATCCTGCTTAGCTGCTCGGCCACGTCGGCCACACTGGCAGTGGCGTCGACTCTGGCAGAGCGACGGGTTCAGGCCAGTCGAGATTTGCGTCTGGATTTGTCCAGCACGTGCTACGGCGTCGGCGGCACGGGGTTGAGCTTTGGCGGCAGTATAGCTGGCAACGTTGGTAATATCGGCGGCGGCAGTGGGAGGAAGAGGAAAATCAGCGAGAGCAACAATTCGCAAAAGAGCAAGGTACGTACGGATGGAATGTGGTGAGAATGAAACGAGTCTGTTTTGGTAGGAAAGAGAACAAGTGAGAATGAGATAGAGCGCAACCGCTGTTGGGAATGAAACTGGTTCCATGTGGCAGAAAATGTATGAAAGGAAAAGGAAAAGGAAAAGGGGACGAGAGAGAGAGCCCAACCGTTGTTTTTGCGGTTTAGCAGCTAGTCAATCGCTACTTTTGTTTTGATTGCTTATGATTATTTTCCGTTTCCCGATTCGGGTGTTTTGGATTTGCAAATTAGTTTTTTGGTGTTTATGCCGGAAATGCTTGTATGAAGTATTCAAAAAATAACCCCATTCTACACCATATTTACACTAACATACATATGTATGTATATACATGTATGTATGTACATATGTACAGTTAGTCAATAAAGTATTCGTTGCGAGGTACTACATATAGTAGTAGTATTATTTCGTGCAGCTATTCAGCAGCATCAGATTCTACTTAACTTATTTGTAATTTAACAGCTAATATTTTGTATGTCATATTTTCTGGTTCAGGAGTGCTTTGAGATGATTTCTCATAGAAAAACGAAATTTTTTGTGGATTCCACTGGGATTTTTGGCCATTCTTCCATAGGAACACTATTCCGATTTTTTTAAATATTTTTTTTAGTTTAGCAGGAATAACGACTCAAACTTTTTTTTGGTAGCTGCACGAAATAAGCTGCGACCCACTGTTCTATTATTCACACACACTATTTTATTATTCAAAATATGTATAAAAAATTTTAAAAACGATCCCTTTTGCTACATTTTTCATAGGAACACAGGAAAACTACGAAATATCACATCAAAAAAGTATTTGTTTTTTTTTTTTATTTTAAGGGGTTTTTTTGGTTTTAGTATTTTGTGTGTAAGCCGTTGTATTCCTTAATAGCTTCCAAGCCTTTAAGCATCAATTCCACTAAATTTCGGACAATATGTCTCTCCTCGTGGTCATTAAAATGTGTTCGGAGCTTCACGGCCCTTATCTGCCACCCGATTTTCGCAAAAAAGCGTTTGGGTTATGTATGTATGAGTTTGTACTAGGGCTTGAGGCAACCATTTCCTGGGTTTTCCCATCCTTAAAATGTTTAAGGACTAATTCGCTTTCCTCAATAACTATTGACTATTATTCGTGGCGCCACAGTTTGAAAATCCTCGTTAATCCGTAATTTTTGGGTGCCCCCAGCCTCGAAAACTTATAAATATGCTTTTGTTAATATATTTTTACTAGTATTAAGAAAAAAAATGGATTTAAAAGTCCTAGTTTAGTTATTAACCGTTAAAGTGCTTGCACGAAATAAGCGTGTGCGTCGAAGTTGCCCTATTTTTTAGTTTTTTTATGAAAAATTATTTTGTTTCTTAAATTAGTAAAAACTTTTGTTATTATTTTAATAATATGCGACATTCTTAACATTACTGCGTTTAAATTTTTTTGATATCTCTGCTGGTTTAGTAGCAGAATCAAATTAAAACTTTGATTTTTTCTTGCACGAAATAAGCTTGGATCCACTGTATATATTATTCTTTATTAAGGATATCTGTCGAATATTTCACTAACAGTATTTAACAGTTTTTCCCGAGTATTAATTAATATTTCTTTGCGATTCGTTTAATTCTGTTCCCTTTTGGCATTTTGTAGCAGATATAACCAAAAATGAGCACAAAAATTTTTGGATTCCCAGAATTAAGTCTGTAAAATAGTAAATTAATTTTTGTGCGTAAAAAAATGACTTTTTTGTGTTATTAAGGAAATTATCTAATATGTAAGTTAAAACTTGTTAATTTTATGTTTAAAATATATGCTGGAAATGTATATCTTTCATTTGAGATATTACAATTCAATTCCCCTTACGTATTTCTCGAGATATTAGGAATAAACTTGCAACTCATGGGTGTACGAATAAATTATGTGCCGTCTGTCTTCTAAATTTTATAAAACAACATGATAAAGAAAAATACCGTAAAAGCCCCCAGATATGTACAAACCCAGTACGATGCAATAAAAATTTGAAATTCAAACGAGTTTCTTTTATTTTTCGCCTTTAAACCAGAAATTTCATCGTCACGATGCTATGGACAAGATCGTCAGTCCAGTGGTTCCACAACCTGGAGCTTGGAAGCGGCCGCCGCGTGTCCTGCAGCCCAGCGGAGCCAGGAAACCCAACACGCGGCGATCGACATCGTTCAGCGAATCTGAGTTGCTCAGTCCAGTAGAAGAGCTGCCGCCCAAACAGCTGCCCCTCATTGAAGGTGAGTCTGCAAGTCGCCGACAAAGTGTTTCTGACATAATGTTGACTTTTCTGTCCTGCAGTAGAGATACCCCGTGATGATACGCCTGAATTACCAGAGCACGGATTGGGCAGTCCGCTGAGCACTACCTCGGCAGCGACCTCGCATACGGCCGGCGAGCAGGATTCTTTGGCCGGGGCGGATACAAGCTTGACGGATATCTCGTCGTCCATTGGCGTGGCCCAGACCCCAGCACTGACGAGCAGTTTAATGTTGGAGCCGGCTCTGATTCCCCCACTCAAACTGTTGCCCAAGTTCCGAGCTGATGGGTTGAAGTACCGGTACGGCAATTTCGATCGATACGTAGACTTTCGTCAGATGAACGAGTTCAGGGATGTGCGACTGCAGGTGTTTCAGCGACATGTGGAACTGTTCCAGAACAAGGATATTCTGGATATCGGATGCAACGTCGGGCACATGACCATCACAGTGGCAAGGCATCTGGCACCGAAAACAATCGTGGGCATCGACATTGATAGAGAACTTGTTGCACGGGCCCGTAGGAATCTGTCAATCTTTGTGCGCATACCCATAGAGGAGAAGCTGCCAGAGGTCAAGGTGGAGCAATCAATGGAGGCAAAGTCAGAGTCAACACCGCCGGAAAAGGCGGAAGAGGATGCTTCGGGAGCGGCTCACAAGAAAACAAGACGAGGCAAGAAGCGACGTAAGGCCCAGCAAGGACTCCAGCATAATCATCACCACCATCATCATCACGATCTGGAGCAGCTGCAGCAGCAACAGAAGCTAGACGCGCTGCTTGTCAAGCCGCACGAGTTCTTCCCCATCTCCTTTCCGCTGACCTACGGGAGAGTTCCTCATTTGCCACCATCGAGCAAATCGCCAAACACGTTCGGCAACAAGAATCTGTTCCCAGCGAACGTGTTCTTCAGACACACCAACTATGTGCTCAAAGATGAGTCGTTAATGGCCAACGATTCACAGCAATACGATCTCATACTGTGTCTCTCGGTTACCAAGTGGATCCATCTTAACTTTGGGGACAACGGTTTGAAGATTGCCTTCAAGCGGATGTTCAACCAGCTACGTCCTGGTGGGAAGTTAATACTTGAAGCTCAAAACTGGGCCAGCTACAAGAAAAAGAAGAACCTTACGGTTAGTATTTATTTCTGCTAAACAATTAACTTGAGATCTTCCTTAATGACGTTAATCCTTCCACAATTGCAGCCAGAGATATACAACAACTACAAGCAGATTGAGTTCTTTCCCAACAAGTTCCATGAATACTTGCTCAGTTCGGAGGTGGGATTCAGCCACAGCTATACTCTTGGCGTGCCCCGGCACATGAACAAGGGTTTCTGCCGACCCATACAGGTGAGTGGGGAATAAAATATGATTTAGAACTGTACCTAATCTTTCGGTTTGGCCTCCATAGCTGTACGCTAAGGGAGACTATACCCCGAATCATGTGCGCTGGAGCGATGCTTACTATCCGCAGACACCATATGAAGCATATCGAGGCATATACGCCACCATGCCCGCTCATCGGATGGGCGGCGGTGGAAGCAGTGCAGGCGGTAGCCATAGTGGACACGCTCACATGCTGCACCTTAGCAGCTCCAGTCGGTCGCAGAACTACGATACTCCGCATTATGCTGGTAGCGCCTCAGGCTCGGCCAGTTGCCGGCAGACTCCAATGTATCAGCCCACCTACAACCCTCTGGAGACGGACTCATACCAGCCCAGCTACGACATGGAATATCTAAACCACATGTACGTGTTCGCCTCGCCGCTCTACCAGACCGTCTGGTCGCCACCTGCTTCGCTGCGCAAAAGCAGCTCGCACACGCCGGTATTCGGGAGCGTGCGCGATGCGGAGTTAGACGGCGATGGCAGCGGTGGTGGAGGCAGTGGGGGCGGGAGCTACCACCGGCATGTCTATCCGCCCAACGACGATACCTGCTCGCCGAACGCTAACGCCTGCAATGCGTTCAATTCGATTCGGGACGCGGACACGGATGATTCTAACCAGCTACCAGGAGGAAGTCGACGGCATGTGTATGCCACCAATTGCGGAGAGAGCTCCTCGTCGCCGCAGGTGAATCACCACGAGGCAACCGGCGAATATGTCGATGCGCTAATGGACGACGAACAAAAGTCGTCAACAGGCGGCGGGACTGGTGGAGCAGCTTATTGTGATCTGTCAGATGCCTAGAATAGGGATACTTCGGCAGGAAAAATGTGTCAAAAAGAAAAAAAACAAAAAAAAAAACGAAAAAGCGTAGGAAACCCACAAAAAGTTTTTGAAAAAAAATTCAATGTAACCGTAAACGAGACGCTTATGATTTTTTATGGTATAATGTGCGTATATATTTTTATATATCGTAATTTAATTGAATGAATATACAAATATATACAGATCTATATATACAAATTGAACAGAGATGCATGTGTATAGGTGTATTATAATCCTTAAAGATAAGGCTAACCACTTTTGCTAACATGCTTTATAGAGAACACTTGATTTGATCCTGTTGGCAGTTCAATTCTAATCCTAGATTTAAATCCACAAGCAATACAAACACTCAAACTCACATTTACAGCGACATATACAGGCACACCCACCAACACTCACACACACGATACGCTGTAGCTTTAAGTAATAAACTATATTGTGCTATAAAAATGTTTAGGAAACGTGAAAAATCCCATGAAATTCAACTATTTTTGATTAACATTTTAGCAAAACAAAACATTAAATGCGGCAAGGGAATGTGAAAACAAAAATGAAATAAAGCAAACACTACAGCAAAGCAAAGAAGATACAATATATTATTATATATACTCGTAAGCAAGTGAGAGCATGTTTCAAATTATTTAAATTAGGTTGATGCCTAAAGCTATAAAGCTAAGCAGAAGTAGCATTAAATTTGAAGTTTGGTCAATAGCAAATATCCACCTTTCCCCAAATCTCCTCCTCCTTCTACGAGGTATGCGGAATCTATGAGTTTTATGTATGCTATGTTTTTGAAACATTTTAAGGAAATATTTTAATTTTTTCTAAGAAAATGAACATTATTGTAGTCAAAAGAATTAAAAAATTATATCTATATATAGAAATAAAATAATAGTATATTAAATAATTGACAAACGTGAGTTTTATATTTGCGGCAACGGCATGAATCCTGTTACAAAACATTTTAAAAGATCAACATGTACACAAATCTGACTGAGAACAGAGATACATATTTAAATTGCAACGGCTCATTTGAAAGCTTTAAGCTCGATCAACGTATTTAAAATTCCCGATCAGCTGGTGGAACCTTTCTATCTGTCTGACTCGCTCAAACCGTGAAGTTTTCCAGGCAGAAAGCTCTCTCGCAATGCCAGTCAAGTCGGTGAAGTGAGTTGTGCAGCGCGTGGGAAGCAAAAATGCAAACAAAAGGCATAATTAGAATGCACAATAAAAATCTAAATAAAAAAAAAACTTAAGTGTTTTTCTGACAAATTCCGAAGAGCGGAGAACGCGTTCCAAGCTTGATCTTTTTCTCTCTCTGCGTCACAAAAACTCTGACCCTTCCAGTGAGAAATCAATGCTGATCGGCCCAGTTCCACACTCGTCTGGCGTCTTGCTCAGTTTCCAATCTGACTTTAACGACTCTGGTTGTTGTGCTCTCTCAGCAAACAAAACAGTCACAAGCAACGAATTCAAGTTTGCCGAGAAGGTCCCCTTCAAATAAATAAAAAGTGTGTCTGACGAAAGTGTGTGATAGTTAAGCATTTTAATATTTTTAAATTGAATCTCTTGTGTGTACAACCTAACGAACTAGTGTGGCGCCCCATATGTATTGCTTTTATTGCATTCATTTGCGGAGTGTTAAGACGGGCCTGAATATTTAAACCACTGTCCAAGTCTCTGAAGGTGATTCACTTTACAGTTAGGAATTGGAGCTGGAGAGGTTGTGCCACAACTTCTGACATCGGATTACAAGTTGAAATCATTTTCATCAGTTGGTGCAGACATGTGAGTGCTCAATTGATTATTTACTGCTGAAAAAAAACTCTCTTCTCTCTATCTTGTACTAAATTGTTAAAATGTGCTGAACCGCCAAGTCAATATTAAGATTGTGTAGGCGAATCCCAAAGAAATGTCTCTGATTAAGAGAACGGTTAAATACTCGAGGGGAAAGTGGTTGCAAACATAGCCCAGACCATGTGATTTTAAAATGTTTTAATAGAAGCGATATCCGAATGCGATAAGAACTCAATAAATAGCATACATATATGGAGCTATAAATAGGTTTATAGTTAATGAAATATTACAAGCGATTTTCGCAATTCTCTTACGCCAAGATGAAATTTCTGAACAAGTCAGATTTACTCTAAAACTGCAACTCAAGTGTACTGCAACTCAGATTCTATTAGCCGGAAAGCTTGGGCGTGCTTAACTATTGATTACAGTACTCATTACCTTCGTGCTAAGCATACTAAATTTGGTATTTAGTTATTTATTTCAATTCTTTAACAGTATATAATTTAATGTAAACATATATGTTATATGTTAATGTTATAACTTAAGAAGAGATCAAAAGAAGTAAAGCAGAATATTTTTTGTATACGCATTATTCGTAGAGTAAAAGATTATATTAGATTCGTTCAAAAGTATGTAACAGGTAGAAATAGCGTTTTCGACCCTATATATATTCTTGATCAGTATCATATATAACATTTTTTGTCAATATCTATAGATTTTCAAGGATTTTTCAAATCGGAACATTATTTCGATGTTTATTAAGAAATGTAGGTTATAAGCCCTCATATGGGCAGTGATGTCACTATCAGTTACTCAACATGCTTTCTCTGACAATAGGTGGCGCTTTGTGAATTTCCACTAGCAAAATGAACATTTTAAAATTGTGCAATACAGTAACGGGTATCTTATAGTCGCGGCACTCGACTATAGCGTCCCTTCTTGCTTAGTTTGAAGTTAAACCCTGTAGTTTTCTTGATCCTTTTGAGACTGACCTATGATCCTGGGTAAATGGTCTATTTTCATATCTTTTTAAAATAAACCACTTGCTAAATAGAGGCTTTTTAATAATTTCCCTTATTACTTTAAATAAATATTTTATTATTAAGATTTACTTTTTCTTTCATATTCGGCTAAGTAATAATTAATCAATTTAAACAATGTTGCCCCTTAGCCATACTGTATACATAATGCAAGGTGTAGAGTATAAAATCATTTATCTTATCTGACCTTGTAGTTTTCAAGTGTGACTTAGCTTATTTTGACTAAAAAAACGTAATCAATCTTAACCATATTATAAAACCTAAGAGGTAAGATGTAAGTCTGCGTTTTCAATGTTAGAATGATGGACTGCATCCTTCGTTTCCTAACTTTATGTGACCTGGTACGTCATACCAAGTCCCCTTATCAAACTGAGTATATATACATATGCGTATTTCAGTTATGACCCTACGAGGTGTCAATCAAAAATAATGTTGACATTCAGTTAGTTATCCCGCATGGATGAATCTAATTAAAGGCATAATTGTAATTCCCTTTATTTCGCCTGCGTGGCTCATTGGGGTCATACAAATAATGAGTGCTGATTACAGCGATTGCGCTCGAGTCTGGTTGTGCCGATAAGATAGCCGACGCAGATACCAAGCCGGATTGCATGCTTGCTTTAAGTGAGGTTGTGACTCATCGGTTGCCTGGGGCAAAAGAGCCCGTACTCGATCGCCCTGCTGGAAAGGCTTGTGCACCCCACACAGAAAGCTCTGAAAGAAAGCTTAAGGCCTTTGCGAAAGAACTGGTTCTTTGTGTTTTGTTGATGACCTTGGGACTAGAACCCAAGAGTTTTATGCAAATAAAATACATACATTATCATATCATATTACTATTATCGTACATATATTAACTTGGGATCGTAAAAAGGTTTCCAGGGTATAGTTTTTTTAATAGCTTAGTGTATTACAAAAAGCTTTGTCAGCTGTTTTGAATTTTGCAGTTGCTGGCCAGAAAACTCCCGTTCTCCGCAGCCAGTCGGCTCCTCTCTTTCGTCAGAGCGTCAAGCGCTGTCTCACCTTAACTGTTAACCGTGTTGAGCGGGGCGATAAAAGCTTTGGCCAGCGGCGCGAAGTTTAGTTAATATTATTAAGCGGAGTGACGGCAACATTGTCGCAACGTTTCGCGCGGATCGCTGATCGTTCGGCGGTAAAGAGAGCTTTTTGGCGGAGGCTAAATAGTGTTAGTGCGAGGGGTTTCAGTATGGTTCTTCTTCAGGTTATTTCGCGTGGCATTTTTCTCTTTCTTGCTTCGCGAACTCAATGCGACGTCGCGCTTATTTCGGTTCTGCAACTTCCGTTAGTGGCCGGCCTGAAAAGTAAACAAAACGCCACTTATCACACGCAAACGTGACAATTCCGCTGCGGCTGATGGGCATCTGTGAGATGCAGAGATACAAGTTGAATACCCAAAACCCCAAATGTTGCAGAAAAAGTGCCACAATTACGGCCCATTTTACTGTAATGAAGCCAGGTGCCAAAAATGAAATATTAGAGAGCCGAAGAGATCAAAAATCAAATAAATTGTGCGTGTCTTTGTCGGCCATTGTGCAAAAAATTTATAAACTGGAAGCTCCAAAAGCCAAATACGAATGAAATATAAACAACACACGAAACATTCCGGGCTTGTTGTATTTGCAAGACTTTAGCTTTGTGTTTACGTAAAGATAACGAAATGCCGTGATAAAAATTTAATTGATTATTTTTAAATGCAAGGGATTTTTGATGTGGTCGGAGATCAAAAATGTATAAGAAGTACACACATATGATAGAAGTGAAATTTATGTATAAAATGCAGAAAAACCAAATAAATTTCAAGTGTAAAGTTTTACCGCACCTTTCAAGTCTAGTATAATTTAGTCAATCATCATATTGTGATCTACATATATAAAAATTGGTATTGATTGGGCCGCAGTTTTAGCTTGACTGCGCTTCTGCCACTCAATATAAGCCTCCATGCCATATAAATCAGTCAATTTCAGTCATTTATTCTGCACCTTGCGGTGTTTATAATTTTTGGTTTAATTAGCCACCGCGGTCCGCCAGAACCGACAGCGGTTACAAATGTAAAACGCGGATGCCAATGCAAAAATGAGCTGAAGGCAACAACAACAAGCAGCAATAAAACCAAAAATCGATTGCCAAAAATAATATAGAGTCAACTATATTCGCCCATCGGAATAACGCGCATTAAACGATGATGGCCCAGAACATTGACACCAAAACCGGCAACAAAGGGGAAACCCATCAATTGCAACTGCCTGCAGAGGCGTCGTTGGGCGCCACTCTGCAGCACTCGCAGGTGCGACGTCATCGGCGCAGCATCTCACAGCTGATGGCCAGCATGGGTAATGTCTTATATCTTCAGATGCAGATTAGATTACTTAGCTCTCGAAACCACGATAAATTTTCGAGACTCTGCGTCATACTAAGATGAGATAATAGTGAACCAGTTTGCGGAATATTTTCAACCTTTAGAACTGATTATCGTTCTGTTCAGATTCTTGAAAGTTTAAAGACTCTAGAGGAAGATTGAATTGATTTCGCTTAGTTCTGGGAGAATGAAAAAAAATGGGTGGGCAGTCCAAGGCAAAACAAAATTATCTAGCCAACAAAGAACCGATAACGGCTAAATTGCCTTGATAATAAATTAACGATTGAAACAGGCATTTCCTTGGGCTTATATAAGCTTCACCAACAAGTTATTCTTGCCCCTCCAATTGCGTGTTGGGCTCCGCCTAACGGTGCCATTAGTAAATGAATCATAACTGATTTTTAAATGCATGACACGCCAGAAGCAACGCTACTTACCCATAATGTATGCGATAGCCGTTTTACATTTGCACTTCAATTCCAATATTGCAACAGGAAATTTCGATTTCTTTGCCATTGTGTGTAGGTCAGTTGGAATATTGGTACGTTGGGTTTAAAAACCTTTTTAGGGGAATTGGTTTACAAAATGTACAAAATTATTGGCCTCGGGCTTTGAACTCTCGTAGAGATATGGGATATCACGCGAGACAGAATCGATAAATTTTTTCAAAATACTTGTTACTTAGAACACTGATAAGGGACACATACCCTTACTTTAGTTTAATAATATATTTATTGTTTTCCAACAAATGTTTTGGTCATAGTGCTTTTTCAATTTTATCATTTAGAAGTAACATATTTCCCTTTATTTTTTGGTTATTTCCACTATTTTGCACTTAAAAAGGTTATCTATAGGAAGATAAAGTCAAAGTTATTAAATCGTCTTATAGGTTGGAAATTTTAAATAATCGGTTCCATTAAAAACCTTGACATTCTTGTGGTTCATTTTTTGATATTTATTTTTCAAGAAATTATATTTTATTACCTTTTCATCTTATAGTAATAGCGAGAACTTGTCAACTGCTTATTAATTTAAAAGCCTTTTTAGTTATTTGACTCAGTCACACGAATGTGTTAATGAATTCGGCAAAGAATGTGCTTTAAAAGTGAAAAGGTGTTAAGAAGTGTGTGTTTTATTGTATACTGAATCGGACGTTAGCTTTTATTAGACCCTCCTTAACTACACACAGAGGTCGGTGACATAAGAAGTGTGTTTAACTAAGTTAGTAATATCCAGAATTCACATTACCAAACCGGCTACCAACAAGCAATTGTTCATCATTTTAAAATTATTTTATATGCCTAGCCTTATCACCCCTACAAGAATTTAGCCATACAAAACACTCTTTTTCTTGGCTCTCGGTTCAAAAAAATGTTTACTTGGTAATTTCGAACTGATAACAAAAAGAGCTCCGTGATAAGGCATATGCCAACCATTGTTATTTTTCGCTGTCTATAAAAAGCGAACTCAATTATACTTCAAAGAATGTATGGTTGCTAGACGCTCTTAGGCAAGTAAAGGTTTTTGTCAGATTCTCAATAAGATAGAGTCACCTAGTAATTCCCCAATGCCATAGATCATTGACGGCCATTGTCAAAACCTTTGCACTCGGCTCCTAGTTAACTTTAATTACCCGCTAAAATTAGCCCATTATCAGTCTTAAAAAGTTAAAACTAATCTCTAAATAATATACTTGGACTTTTGTTTTTTATTATACACGAGAATGCATATTTTAGAAGACAATGTTTTTGTATTAATCCATTTTTTTTCCATATAATATGAGCTCCAACTATAGTGGTTTAGCATCCGATAGACACAATTGTATTTGTGCAGAGGACACCTGTTATTGACTGCTAATCAAGGTACTTGACTAAATACTGATTTATGCAGTTTATTACTGTCGTCGATAACGGGAGGCACTTTTCTCTGCGGTCTGTGTTCGAAACAATGCTACACCCATAAACCCACTTAGCCATCAACGTCCGGCTCTACCTACTGTGCAGTATCTCCAAATTTATCTGTTGCGTCGTTTATTTGGGCTTGCTATCTGAATGGCATTCAGTTAGAAGCTTAATTATGAACTAAGAGTACCAATGAAGTAAACATTTGGCCAAGTAGTGGCTGAACCTCCTGTCATGTAGCTTTTTTGAAAATACAATAAAAAAATTGCATATCAGTCAGTGGACGACTCACGTGCACTTAACTAAAGAGATAGCTATATTTACGGGCAGAGAGATGGGATTGAGAGTACTCAGCTCTAAATAGCTTCAAGGTTCGAGCAGGGTTCCTATGTCAAGTTCACTTGTAAGGTGAACCGAAATGAAGTGTACTTTACTAAACCGCGTGTCGTAAGGTGTGACCTTGAATGGGCTTCTGTTTCGAGTTGAGATAACATGCGCCAATTACGATTTAATACAACTAACAGAGGTTAAATATATTCAAAAAATACTTCAGCTCGAAGATTAGAATTCACTACCAACTTATCGATCATTCAGTCAGCTGAGACTTTTCATAGTGAATTCCGATAGTATATAAATTCTGCACTTTAAGAGTAATTTAAGCTTTTTGAGTAACCAGGGGCGCATATCTTTTTTGTTAAATATCTTTTAAAAGTCAAGTAGATATTAATACCTTTAAATTGTATATGAGTTCTGTTTATCTTCTTGAGAAGGCTATTTTATTATGTTTATACGTAAATGAAAAAAAAAACATTTGGGATTTATATAAGTACAAAGAAAGCTAAATTAGCATTAAATTGGGAAAAAAGCTATAAAAATGTACATGACCATCTGTTGAGAGATGCGTTATGTAAGTTCTTAGCAGTTCTTCTTTTAAACAACTATTAACAAGTTTTTGGCCAATAGGTATTATCAAAAAAGATATACCAAATGAACCAAAAAGTGGGCACCTAAGATTTTCAACCAATTTTACCTTTACCTTTATTAATATAGCGTTTTCACCAAGAAATTCTTTTTTAGTCTTAAAAAAATATTCCTGTTGCAAAATGTTTCGAAGTTTTCAAAATCTTTAATTATTTGTTAAACTTACATAATATTTTTGCTATATATATATTTTTGATTTATAAGTTCTGTTCTTAAAACTGTTGTCTCTCTGATATTAAACCACTGTTATTGTAATTTTCAGTTGAATACCCCACGGACGATGTGTACCGGCCAACGCACTTCGGCGGCTACGTTAACAGAGGTTACGATGATATAGACAGTTCCTACTACTTTGCCCAGTTCGAGGCGATGACAGAAGCTCGCGCCGGGAGAGCGGCCCTGCCGCCCTATGCAACTACCGAATCGGACGGTGAGCACGGCAGCGGGGAAGCAGATGCATCGGCAGAGGCATCATCCAACAACGAGGAAGAGGAGGTATTCCGCGACTGCACGGACGACGTGGTGGCCGAGCAGCAAAACCGCTGTCTGCCAGAGTTTCAGTTCTCCCTGGTTGACTCCGAGTACGACGAGACTCTGGCCTTTCCCGATTCGGTAACCATCCTGTCCAACGTGGGGGACAAGCCAGTCCTGGTGGAACGCAAAGAAACGGACGATGACGAGGAAGAGTTCGACGACGAGGAGAACAATAGTGTTGTTCTGCGTCACGAGATACCGTTCACCAGCATCTATGGACCGAGTGTAAAATTCAACTCATTTCAGCGAAAGGTCTTTATTCCGGGTAGAGAGATCCATGTTCGGATCGTTGATACAGAGCGCAGCGTCACAACACATTTGCTGAATCCAAATCTGTAAGTACAATTAATGCCTAATCAGATTGGAAAATTCATATTGGGAAACTTCTTTTAAGTTTTTAAGAAAAAATTTCTTGATCGCTGGGTTTGAATATTTTTCGCTGGCTAAGGAAGTCATTGCTTAAAAACTGATTGATGTTTCAATTCGAACTCTACCCTTACACTGTTATTACATAATGAATTCTGCTAAGGTATACGATTGAGCTCACTCACGGACCCTTCAAGTGGACGATCAAACGGCGATACAAGCACTTCAACTCGTTGCACCAGCAACTCAGCTTTTTCCGGACTTCGCTCAACATTCCCTTTCCCAGTCGCAGTCACAAAGAAAAGCGCACCACACTGAAAGCCACTGCCAGCCAGATGGCCGACGAGTCCACCCTCAAGGACCTGTCGGCGCACACCAAGGTCAAGCAGACCAGCACTCCGATGAGTGGTGAAGGCAGCAAAACAGTCAACAGTAACGGCAACTCTGCCATGGCTATCATCAGTCCCAGTCACAGTTCGATTCTGGCGGGATTGACACCCCGACGTATTCAAAAGAAACGCAAGAAAAAGAAAAAAAGGAAGCTTCCACGGTTCCCTAACCGTCCTGAGAGTCTGGTCACTGTGGAGAATCTAACCGTCCGGATCAAGCAGCTGGAGGATTACCTATACAACCTGCTTAACATTAGTCTGTACAGATCCCACCACGAAACGGTAAGAAGTGATATGGAGATATGCATGTGGGGTTTATTAACAGTCCTAAACTTTTTTAAAAAATGCCACTTTCGAATGTCATTCGAAAAAAACTGTTACTTTTAGTTTTACAAGTTTTCGGAAATCAAGATGGGACCAAAAATAACTTAATTCCACTTTTTAACCAACAGCTGAACTTCGTTGAAGTGTCCAATGTGTCCTTTGTTCCGGGATTGGGTATTAAGGGTAAGGAAGGAGTAATTTTAAAGCGAACTGGATCAACGAGACCAGGGCAAGCGGGATGCAACTTCTTCGGCTGCTTTCAAAAGAACTGCTGTGTGCGCTGCAACTACTTCTGTTCGGACGTGGTATGCGGAACGTGGCGAAGCCGCTGGTTCTTTGTAAAGGAGACCTGTTTTGGCTACATTCGTCCAACTGACGGAAGCATCCGGGCAGTAATCCTCTTCGATCAGGGATTTGACGTGTCTACGGGCATTTATCAGACTGGCATGCGCAAAGGCTTACAGGTGCTGACGAACAACCGACACATTGTGCTCAAATGCTGGACACGACGCAAATGTAAGGAGTGGATGCAGTACCTCAAGAACACAGCTAATTCGTATGCGCGGGACTTCACACTGCCCAATCCGCACATGTCCTTCGCCCCGATGCGCGCCAATACCCATGCCACGTGGTACGTAGACGGCGCTCAGTATATGTCAGCCGTGGCCGATGGCTTAGATGCTGCTCTCGAGGAGATTTATATTGCTGACTGGTGGCTTAGTCCCGAGATATACATGAAACGACCAGCACTCAACGGTGACTATTGGCGCTTAGACAAGATTCTGCTGCGAAAGGCTGAAGAGGGAGTACGTGTCTTCGTTCTGCTGTACAAGGAAGTGGAAATGGCTCTGGGCATCAACAGCTACTACAGCAAGTCAACATTAGCCAAACACGAAAACATAAAAGTGAGTAAACAGAGATATTTATTTGAAATAAATCGGATCCTTAAAATTTACATGTTTTGGCATGAACTAATCGTTTCGAGTTCTGATATTTGTTTTGACTCTACAGCTTATTTAAACAATCAATTTTGACAGTATGTGTGTATTTAAATTTTAAATTTTATTCATCTGTACTAAATTTACCAAATATCCGTTTCAGGTCATGCGACATCCGGACCATGCCAGAGGTGGTATTTTGCTATGGGCCCATCACGAAAAGATCGTGGTCATCGATCAGACATATGCGTTCATGGGAGGAATTGACTTGTGCTACGGTCGTTGGGACGATTCCCATCACCGCCTTACAGACTTGGGCAGTATATCTACGTCCTCCTTTTCTGATAGCACTCGTCGTACACCCAGCTTGTATTTTAGCAAGGACGATACGGATTCGGCCTTCGGATCACGAAAGTCTTCGCGGAATGCCCACTATGAAACGCCGTCTAAGGAAAGGTCACCGTCTCCACCGCCGGATGAACCCAGTACTAGTTTTGAGTTAAGGACTCTGAAGCCCGGGGATCGTCTTTTAATACCCTCTATGTTAGTTTCGAGTCCGGGAGAAACGCCCGGTGAAACGGGCATTGCGCTAGAGGGGATGAAGCTCAATACTCCCGAACTGGAGCGTAAGAACGTTCTCGATCGACTCAAAAACAACGCGATGAAGGGTGCCCGTATGGGAAAGGACTTTATGAACCGATTAACAGCGACGGATGCGGTGGAAGAGAAGTCTGACGAAGTGTACACTATCGAATCTGTTGATGTTACGGACCAAGAAGTTAACCTGACCTCGGCTTCAGGCGAGCAGGGGGTAGCTGTAACCATCGGCAGCACGCAAATACTCAGTGAGTTCTGCGGCCAGGCGAAGTACTGGTTCGGCAAGGACTACTCCAATTTCATACTCAAGGACTGGATGAACCTAAACTCACCGTTCGTAGACATCATAGATCGGACAACCACTCCACGTATGCCGTGGCACGATGTGGGGATGTGTGTGGTAGGTGCATCCGCCAGGGATGTGGCCAGGCACTTTATTCAGCGCTGGAACGCTATGAAGCTTGAGAAACTGCGTGACAACACACGGTTCCCCTACCTGATGCCGAAAAGCTACCACCAGATTAGGCTAAACCCCCAGTTGCATCAAAACCGACAGCAGCGTGTCACTTGTCAGCTCCTTCGGAGCGTCTCTGCCTGGAGCTGTGGTTTCATTGAGGCGGATCTGGTGGAGCAGAGCATCCACGATGCATATATCCAGACGATCACAAAAGCACAACACTACGTGTACATCGAGAACCAGTTTTTCATCACAATGCAGTTGGGAATGGGCGTGCCAGGTCCGCACAATAATGTGCGAAATCAAATCGGCGAGACTCTCTTTAAACGGATCGTGCGGGCACACAAGTATGTTTTGTATATCAGTTCTATTGTCTGGCAGACCTAAAGTGCATTTTTTTAGAGAGAGAAAATCATTCCGTGTTTTTGTGATAATGCCGCTCCTACCCGGCTTCGAGGGTGATGTGGGTGGAAGTACTGGCATTGCAGTCAGAGCCATTACACATTGGAATTACGCATCCATTTCCAGGTAAGGTTGACCAACAAGTTTAAAGTGCTATGCAAAAGCGTTCTATTTAGGAATAGTATATATGGGATTCTATATCATAAAGAGGTTCCTTTAAACTAACTGGTATATTTTGTTTTAATTTTGTATAGGGGACGCACTGCAATTCTGAATCGTCTGAATGAGGCGGGCATTGTAAATCCCCATGACTACATCTCATTCCACAGCTTGCGTAACCATTCGTTCTTGAACAACACCCCTATCACAGAGCTAATTTATGTGCACTCAAAGCTCTTGATCGCCGACGATCGTGTGGTAATATGTGGCTCTGCAAACATCAACGATCGATCAATGATCGGAAAGCGGGATTCTGAGATAGCTGCCATCATCATGGACGAAGAGTTTGAGGATGGCCGCATGAACGGCAAAAAGTATCCAAGCGGTGTGTTTGCCGGACGCCTCCGAAAATATCTGTTTAAAGAACATTTAGGTAAGTTAATCTGTAGTGCATTCATTGAAGATTGTAATACATTTTTTATGCAGGCCTCCTGAATGGTGAGGGTTCCAATCGTTCGGAAATGGACATCAGCGATCCAGTTTGCGATAAGTTCTGGCACGACACCTGGCGTAAGATCTCAACAAAGAACACAGAGATATACGACGAGGTGTTTAAGTGCATTCCTACCGACTACGTAAAGACATTTGCCAGTCTACGCAAGTACCAGGAGGAGCCGCCACTTGCCAAAACGGACCCCGAGCTAGCCTCCAATCGAGCCACAAACATTCAGGTACTCAATACTTACCCAGACTACAGGGGTGTTTTATAGAGCACCAGTTTCAATCCAAATCGAGTTTCTCAATAAAAAAGTGTTTATTTTTCCTGTCCTTAGAAAAATAATAACACTCTCATACCAAAAAGCTTTTTTTTGCATTGAGCGAAAATAGAATTGAGAATTTTATCTGTTCGAAATAATATGTTTATCATTTTTGCAGTTGGTACATTATAAAAGAGCCACTAGTTTTGTGCAAACTTATCCGATTTATCGACATACCCATTGTAAACTAATAAAATAACTATGTCTTTATTTTAGGGTTATCTGGTAAACCTGCCATTAGAGTTCCTCAACAAGGAGGTGCTCACACCGCCCGGAACCAGTAAGGAGGGCCTTATTCCTACCTCTGTATGGACATAGTCTGCAACAAGTCTCAAAGAGGCAACTAGCTTTTACAATTCTAAGGAACACCTCTTACCGTTTATCACCCACCAAAAGCGCTTAACTTGAACGCTTGTCATTGCCAAGTCATACAATTTTTATATTGTATTATATATTACAATAGATTACTCTAGATAAAAACAAGTACTTATAGTTATGCTCTATAAATAGTTAATTTATTATACCCTGTTTGTCTATGTCTTCAAGTAGTTTTTAAATGTCTGTTGTTATTTTTTACAGTATTTTAAACCGGCGTACAAACGTTTATTAAAGTGATATGAAGTGCAAATGAACAAATATCGTTTTTCTATACAATAGCAAGGCAAACGAAGCTTTTTATCGTAAGTTGATTTCCCATAAGATATTCGCAATTTAAAGCTGAGGTTAGGCTAAATGTTGAGATTAGGCATAAAGATTTTCGAGATTGTTGCACAGATCCTACGCTTATAACAGTATTTATATTATACAATACGATTGTTCTCAATGCTCACGTGTCAAGAGAGAGTACCAGTTTAACATTTGGCCACATGGTACGCCAATTAAATACCACTGAACTTTAGCTGTCTCAGCAAATCTTATCATAAGTTTCCTCCTTTGCTAACCACATAGGTTTTAAGGACATAAGTAAGGACATTATATCGATCTCAGCTCTCCGTTATGGAAGTCTTACATTGGTCAACTCAAAAAAAGTTGGTTATAATCGCAGATCGTTTTTATGTTTTGAAAAATTATCGTCGGCTCAACATAAGACCGCTACACTCTCCCCAAAAAATTAGAAGTTTTAAGGGACATAGTTAGGATCACAGAACATAGACATTATAAATATATGACTTTAAATTTATTATAGTAATAACTATCATTGGATCTCGTCCATTATAAGTCCATCAACTTCAAAAAAATAAAATTTATTTATATATTTAAAATCAAATTTATTAAAGGATTGCACGCATTTAACGTGTCGGGAACGACCTATAGAACCTGGCATCTTTAAATGGCAACTTTTTTATTAGTAATACATATTTCAAATATATATTAAAAACACCGAAGTAACCTTTCACATATAGGAGAAGCTACCAGTGACCGTTGATAAGGATAAAATCATGAAAATATAGGATCGAGGTCGTCATGTGACTATTAGAACCATCGCAGAAGAGCTGCAACTAAGCACGGAAACCATCCATAGACATTCGAGTCGAAAAATTTAACAAAAAAGCTCGATGTACGGGTGCCTCATGAGTTATCCCAAAAAAACCTTTTCGACCGTGTATCAATCTGGGAATCTTTGTTGCACCGTAATAAACTCGACATATTTCTGGATCGGTTAGTCACTGGTGATGAAAAATTGATCACATATGACAACATAAAGCGTAAAAGATCCTGGTCGAAGCATGGTGAGTCGTCTCAAACGGTGGCAAAGCCAGGACTGACGGCTCAAAGGGTGTTGCTGAGTGTATCAATTCTGACCTCTACTGTGAACAACGGGAGCGATTGAAGATTGCTTTTGAACAGAAGCGGCCAGCCATGGTGAATCGTAAGGGCGTCAGTATGGTCCCGGACATTGCCCCAAGCGAATACGGTTTTTCGCCATGCAAAATTTTTTCAATTGGCAAATATTGAGTTCAAGGGAGGATTGTGAAAATCGAATCGCCGAGTTTTTTTTTCACATTAGGGACAAGGACATCTTTAGGAGAGGCATATACAAGTTTCCATCAAACTGGCAGAAAATCATCGAAGGCAACGGTACATATAGCACTTAAATCTGACAATGCTAACTAGTTGTTTAATAAAGCTGGTTATGGCACAGATTTATGGGCTATTAAGCTGTCACATTAGTGATAAAAACATGGTTTCCCCACCCCGAAACCCATTATCCGTCGTCTCCTGTGATAAGGATTTCCCCTCACCCTTTTAGTCAGTATGGATTCTGGCACAGAAATCATAAACCCATAAATTATAGTTTTTAAAATTAGTACACGTGTTCAAAGAAGTAATAAAATGTGACGATTGTGTCATGATTAGTTTTCTCGAAAATGACTCGAAAATGAGTCGTAAATGATCTTCAATACGATATGTAAAATAGCAAAAACAAAATTGTAAAGCAATCGAAAATTAATCATCCAAATGATTGAAAGGAGATTATTTTTTGCAGCTTAACTGCGCTCTCTCTCTTGGTTTTCTGTTCTCTGCTTTATCTCGTTTATCTTATTCAAACGGTACTTTTAACAAAATTTGAAGTGGTTGGTGCAATGTTCTGCATTTTTAAACTCCGTTTTAGTAACTCAGTGAGATTAGGTAAAGTAAAAGGAATATGTCGGCCAAAAATATTAGGAAATTGGCAAAAAAAACAAGCCAAACAATTATTAAGCAAAGACATTGTGTTGAATAATGAATACATGGCAGATAACTCAAATAAAGAACTTGTCGCAGAAAATAACATTGAAAATTATAACGACTCAAGCGCGTCGAGTGAAAAATGCTCTTCTATGAGTGATTTCGATAGTGAGAGTGAAAATAAATGTGAAAACGAAAAAATAACTTTGAGTGAAGAAATTTCAAAATGGGCTACTCAATTTGGAGTAAGCTTTGCTGCACTAAATGCATTGCTCTTAATATTACGAAAGTGCAATATAACAGTGTCAAAAGATGCTAGAACCATTTTGAAGACTCCTGGCACTGCTGTTCAGAGAACAGTTGGAGAAGGAACTTACATACACTATGGAGTAAAATGCGGACTAACGGATTTTTTGACTATACAAGATTGGAAGTTACCGTACTTGGTTTTGGACTTCGGTATTGATGGCCTTCCCCTATTCAAAAGCAGCTCGAAACAAGTATGGCCAATATTGGCCAGCGTTGCAGACACAACCTACGTTTTTCTTGTTGTCGTGTATGAAGGAACTTCTAAGCCAAGTTGCGCGATGGATTATTTAGCAGAATTTATTTCTTAGATGAAAATGGGGGTTTTTGGTTTTCTAATAATTTTTACCAAATCTCAGTTCGCTGTTTCGTAATGGACGCACCGGCAAAGTCTTATATTTTGGGAACTAAGGGACACAGTGGATACTATTCATGTGGCAGGTGTACTCAAAAAGGAGAAATGGTTAAACATCGTCTTATTTTTCCACCAGAAACCACAAATTCACCTAGAACTGATTCTTCCTTCAGAAATAGGTCTCAGCCAGAATATCACTTAAGGCAATCTCCATTAGAAATGTTACATATTGATATTATATCACAATGTTCCTTAGATTACATGCACGTTATATGTTTAGGTGTGATGCGGACATTGTTGAATGCATGGGTTAAAAAAAGGGTGCAGACTTTTCATTAACATCGTGGAAAATCGAATCTATTTCGAAAGAGTTGCATTTCAATAGAAATAACATGACAAGGAAATTTAAAAGAAAACCTCGAAGTTTAAAAGAACTTTACAGATGGAAAGCAACAGAGCTTAGACAATTTGTACTTTATACTGGACCTTTTATATTAAAAGAAGTTCTTACTACAGAAAGATATGCTCACTTTTTAAAATTATCTTTAGCCTTAAGAATTCTTTGAGATAAATATGAATATAAGCTTAACAACTCATGTGCTGAAAATCTTTTGAAATCTTTTGTGTTTGATACACCAAGGCTATATGATTTGTCCTTCATAACTTATAACTTTTATTCATTATTGCATATTCATAAAGATGCCAAGCTTTATGGATGTCTAGAAGGTACAAGCGCATTTAAATTTAAGAACCATTTAAATAAAATTAAACGAAAAGTTAAGAAAGGAGATATAAAAGACATGTAAAAGAAATTAGCTATAATTTAGAGAAGGAAGTAGGATATGAATTACATGCTAGTTTTGGAGAAACTAAAAAGGGAAAAATGTTAAATGTGAAAAGTGTTATTTTCTCAGTCAGAGAACCCGATAATTTCTCTTTGGTAGGAAATAAAATTCTTAAGATTACTGAAATAAAGAACTGTAATAATATGCCAGTTATTCTTGGAATGGCAGTAAATAACTTGACGCAAGCTTTTCTTCAACCAATTGAGTCGAATAATTTTCAAATGTATTGTGCGACTGATATAACATTTGATGACAAAATTGAGTTTTTAGTAAACGATATTCTTAAAAAAATTATATGTCTACGTAATTCTACGACCCTTAGTTTTTTGTAACCCTCTTGTGCACAATGTCTGAGAACCATTATTCTTCTGAAAATTTTCAATACACACAATTTAACAATTCAACATCATGTAAGTAGAGCATAAATTAATACAATATCTTTTAATAACGATAATATTTTTAGTGCAAAATGATGCCAGATTTGAAAAAAACCCTGATATTTTACTTGATATTCAAAAAGAAAACCGAATGTTAAGAGCTGAAGTTGTGGACCTAAAGCTTTGTATTACCAAATTAACAGAGGAAGTGATTACCGTCAAATTGGAAAATAGAAAACTTCACAGTACGGAGATTTCAGAAGCCTTCCTTTCACCGACTTAAATGTAATGATAATGAGAAATTACAGCAATTTGTAAGTATTGTATATATAAATCAATTTTAATTTCTTAATTTAATTTAATTTAATTTTCAGAAACAATTTATAGGGAAAACTAGTCTAGAAGGACCATCTCAATTTTTAAGAGCAGCACTTCGAAAAGTATTTTCCGACCAATTGGCTACAAGTTATAGTTGGAAAGGCACCAGCACAAAGCCAAGCGCTGAAAAGTGCTTCCTTATAACAATAATAAAAAGTAAGAAAATATTTCTATTATTGGCGAAAAAAGTTAATATTTTTCCCCTCCTAGATATTTGCCACGTAAAATTCCAATGCACGGATAAGGACATGAACATGGTCTTTCAAAAATTTTTCGTACATGCCAAATACCGGGATAAAAAAAAAAGCGCGTGAATTAGTTTAGTTGGTATTTGAAATACATATCATATATATATATAATAGATAAAAAATTGTAGAACAAAATATTATTGAATATGTCGTAGTGTGATTCCCAGTTAATGTAGCATTCTGGTAATTTGGGAATTCGGGGAATTCCCTGCTTCTGCTTCACTCGTTGATGTTGAGCAAATGCACGGCAGCAGAGGCAGAGACGCTCTGCTGCTGAGTGAGGTCCGATGGTAAGATACCAAGAGTCTTGAGTAAGACAGAGATGGCTGCATACGCTCAACTTGAGTGAGTTTATGACGTGAGCGCTTATGCTGAGTTAGTTGAACTTGGGTATTCGAACCGATCGGAACTCACTGTGTAACTGCAAGAATCTATAACAGTGTCAGCATGAATAACA